GCAGGATTTTGTCACTCCGAAACACACTCCGCGAAGCCGATTGGAGTTTTCTTTTGCCGCAGCAGTGAGCGTCGCTGAAAGCTTACTGCATTTCGAGGGTTCCGTTATCGTACCCGTTACAAGTAATTCTTCGTTCGCTGTGTGTGATTTCCAAGCGAGGAGTTTGGGTAACGCATTTGATCATCACCACGGCTCGCTTTTCTCGCCACAACAAATGCATGCATGCATGCATGAATGAATGGGTAAATGAATGAATGAATGAATGAATGGTGACTGCCGGACGTCGGCAACACGCGGCGCTTGCGAGTTTCGACGTTTTACTTCAAGGGAGCACCCCCACCTTTCTGTACTTTTCACTTATTGCGACATCAGACGCGTAAGATTTGAACAGCGATACTAGTTTTATCGAAATCCTGAATAGCTAAGAATTTAGATTTGGAATAGTGAACCCTGCGGGACAAATCCCATTTGGCTCTCTGCTAACCTCTATAAAAGTGACGCGTTTTGCTTGCTTTGCTTTTACGAATGTTTATAATGTTAGCAGCACGCAAATGTGCCAAAATCTTTGAACAATAAATGATACGAAAGGCTAAAACACTGCGTAGACAAAAGATATGCGATCATGAGACTATCAGCACGCGAATTCAACAAAACGTTATACTGAGGTTTCGATGCTCCCCAATGGCTTTTATCGCATCGGGTCTCTTCGCGACGGACTTTGGCTTTAGGAATGAGAGTATCACACGATCCATGTGACGCACTGGTTTAGACTTCAACTGACCAACTTCTCGGTAAAAGGCCCTTGCCCTCTGGGCCAATCACAAACGTTCTTTAATTCGCACCAGCAGAGGTGCACAGTGGTCGTCATGAAGACGGCGGTCACGATTGCATGGAAGAAGCGTACTGCTGTTACAAAGCGTTGGCCACGTAATTTGGACTAGAAAATGATGCAAATTGGTATTTTTATTATGCCTTGACAGTGCTGCAGTGATGCCACCCAGTCTTATCATTAGACGCAGCTAGTCCTGAAGTTTCACTAGAACATGTTTTTGAAACATGCTCCAAAGGCAGGAACGTCCGTTTAAGCTCCATGGAAACCTATGCTGAAGGGGACTAGGCAGTCAGCAGAAGAGTCCAAAGGCCGATGCAAAGAAATACGGAGTGGAGGCCTTTGGTACTGCAGCAAGCCTGTGAGCTCGTTCCTAAATATATCCGTCCGCCGTAATGGTTGGATAAAATGTTGTCATTACCATCTGAAGCATTTTTGTTCAGTACCATTTGAGGAGCATAGGCTAGTGAGCCAACTAAAATCGGCATGTTTGCGTGTTTAAGTTAGCAAAAACAGTAAACGCAAACTAAAGTTAGCAAAACAGTAAACAAAACAAAACAGTTGACTCAAATTAATCTAGATAAGTGGGGTGGGGACGGGCAGTTGACATTGTTTGCCCCTCACCTTGAAGTGTGTGTGCCTTCTTGCCCACCTCTATTACTACGTTCATGCCAGTTTTGCCTTAACCATAAGCCAGAGAAAATTCATGAATTTGTCGATTGTATAGGTTTTCAACCCTGGTTATAATTTTCTATCCATAAGATGCTTCCAACCAACGTTCAAGCAATGCATTTTTGAAGTAGCGTTGGAGTAGTACGTCGGTTTAAACTTTCTTATGAATTTTTAAAATAAATTGTATCCGAACCCTTTGAATGGATGGCTTTCTGGGATCAGCGCCCCACGCTAAGTCGTGCTTGTTGTGTGAGCCCTGACCCGCCACCCACCCGATCGCGCAGTTCCATGCGACGGCAGAACTTAGTGGCGAAAGCCTAACGTGCCGCAATGGCTCGGCACGGTCCGTCCTGCCCTCTGACGACAAATGATCTTTAGCGCGACCGCTGCCACCGACCGCAGGCCATACCTGTCAAGGGCAAATAGCGAGCGTCCTAAAGCGACTCGAACCCACCGCGCCACGAGTGGGTGGAGCGGAAGACAGGCGCTCTAACCAACTGAGCCACCGGAATTTGGATTGACTGACGTCATAAAAGGTGGCATTTCAAACGCATCTAACATATCCATTAGTTGGAGTGGGGGGGGGGGGGGTGTATCAAAAATATTTGCCTCCACCAGCTTAGTTTTGCTGGATCATTTCCAGGATGGCAAGAGCAACTCTCCCGTCTTTAACTCCTCGCTCGTTCCTAGCCGTCTAAGGCGTCTTGCTAGTGTTTTAAGTCACGAAGGGTGCGTCAAAGACAGGATATCATTACATCACACTACCGACCGGAAGGGCCGCTGCTGCAGCCAAAACATTGCACAATGCAAGCTGGGAATTCTAGCACACACGGCGATCATTGAGCACAAGACGATATGCTAAAATCACCAGTTGAGATCCAGGACGTGCCTTCCTTACTGAAGCTGTCATTCAAGCATGAATTTTTCTCCTCAGACCTGGGGTGAAGAGAAGACTCATGCACCTCCCCCCCCCCCCCCCCCCTCCTCCGGTTATGCCGATTCCTTTCGGTTGGTTCGGGACGCCACTAACTTTACCTGAGGAACGATGAATATATTAGACAGCTTGCTGTTGCGCCGGCACACTCCTTGCTTATTGAAATGCTCAGCCTGCAGCTTTTCCACTTTTCGGTGTCAGTCAGACACCACGTTATCCATCAGCGGAACGCGATGCTGGTTTTAGGTTAAGAAAATGATATGGTGGAAAGTGCAGATATAAAAGATAGCTTTTGGAAGATATATCGCCGGACAAACTATCTTACGCCTTCGAAATAATACTGACGTGCTGTATAAATATCAATGCAGAACTGAAAAACATGCGATTTCACTTTTGGGCACTAACTGATCCGGACTCACGAGGGCTTGCGGGAGGCATCGTGGGTTTCCAAGTCCTACTAAGTCCTACCAAGTCCTACAAGTCCGCACACCGCTGCCATCTTCGGTAGGCTTCCACCGTGACCCAGCCATGCCTGCGCGTCACCAACAAAGTAAGCCACTGGCGCACCCTTCGGGCTCATGCAGTGTGAGCCCGATATCAGTCGCAGGTGACCAGGGTCATGCTGGGTTTGCTGACCGGCAGTTTAACTGCAATGGCTTGGCGAGGCATTGTAAATACCCGCTGGGCGGACGAATTTACTAAGATATTTTCTTGTAAACATGCACACGACGTCAATTGGTAAAAAACCCGACCAGGTCTGACTAGGCTTTATTTTGTGATGCAGTACAGTTTATCCTACAAAGTGGCTACAGTGCCGCCCGCCCTGTAACTATGGCGTGACGTTTGAACGGTTCTAAGATGCGCTGAGCAGAAATGGAAGACTAGATGGGCTAGGTAGTTGTAATCCTCCCCGTCATTTTCTGCCATGCAGTCTGGCAAATACGTGCAACAAAGCAACGCTCCGATGGCCATTCATAGCATCAGCGTGGCGTCACCAGTTCTCGCCGCCCGATCACAAAGGCGTCTCGTTGCACACGATTCAGCCGCGCCTGGACCCTTCCGGCGCTGTCGGCGTAACCGACGGCAGACGAGTGCGCACGCCGACGGTAGACGAGGACGCACGCCGACGGTAGACGAGCACGCACGCCGGCGGTAGACGAGTACGCGCGCCGACGGCAGACGAGTGCGCGCACCGACGGTAGACGAGTACGCACACCGACGGTACACGAGCACGCACGCCGACGGCGTAGACGAGTACGCGTGCCGACGGCAGACGAGCACAATCCAGCCCTGGGTGGCAGCACGGAGACGGTGCAAGTCGAGCGATGACGCTGGTCACAGCGGCGCGAGACATCCGAGAGATGCCGCTGGAAACATTTGGCTGCTGATGACTCTAGGAGCTCTCGTGGGCTTGCAATCGGACGGCGGGTCTGAAGCTATACGTAGCTCTCTTGCTTGGAAGAGCAGAGCAGGAACGACTCGAGAAGTCGCGGCTCCACCAGGTCCAGACCGTCGCCATTTTCGAACACCTCTAGACCGCACGCGGACGCCATCTTGCGCAGCGTCGCCTGGAACGATCGAAAATCGGTTAGCACGGGCACCCTCGCGGGCGGGCTTGCCGTCCTTCCATTTTAAGTTATATTCGATTTTACTTCACCATTTCCGTGCTGCTAGTGTCAAACACCAAAAGGACATATTAACGAAACAGGACATGACCAAACAACGCTACCGTCCAAAGGTTAAAATTCCATATGTTCATTTCTAGCCATTTTGCGTTTTTTGTGTCATCTGATTTGCCTTCTCATGCTGCATTCGGGTATTTATACTAAAAGTTGAAACTTTCTCAGATTTTTAGCTAAAGTAATGGGTTAAGACCCTGTGAAAATTTCAACTGATTGTTTAAATAACCCAAGTCAGCGAGAGTAGATAAATCAAAAGACATAAAAAGCGCAAAATGGCGAAAAACTAACATATGAGGCTTTACCTTCGGACGGCAGAACGGAAGGACAAACGTACGATGAAAACGCCTTCGATCACACGTTTCAGCTTTAGTGTTCTACCAATTTCTCTTCGATTTGGTCTAGAAGTAACGCCACCAATATAACAATTACATGGTGCCGTTAGGAAAGCTTCCACGAAAGTCTCCCATCAGGCTACTGGGCAATTACCGGATTATCAGACACGCTGCCAAGCATTCTACTAAAGGATTATCTTGTGTACTGCCAGACACGTACCCCTGCATGTTTCATTAGATAGACTAGCGGGCACCTATACAGAAAAGCTACCGTGCTGGCTACCAGCAAGGTCACTAGGACCATGCACCATAGCGGATCCAAGAGGGAGGGCCAGGCCATGGCTCTTAAGAAGTTGAAACGACCAAATGTTTAACACTTTTGCTTGCTCTTAGTGCAATCACCACCAATTTTGAGCTTGGCCCCCCAAACACACTCGGTCGCTGCCAGAATCTGGTGCTTGACCCGCCTCCGGTGGTGGGATACCAGCACTTGTCACCAAACATGCAGGGCGCACGAAACAGACACTGGACGGGTGGTGGCTGGCTGGCCGCCGCGTGCGCGCCCCCGGACTCACCAGACAGGCGACGAGCACGCCGTCCGAGTGGTTGCGCTGGGCGCCGTCGCGGCAAAGCTGCACCAGGCGCTGCAGGCCGCCTCCCTCGACCACCTGCAGCGCCACCGAGCGGCGCACGCACAGCCGCGACAGCGCGATGGCCGCCTTCTGCTGCACGCGCTCGGCCGCCTGCACGCTCGGCTCGGCCGCGTCGCCGGCTGGCGGGTGCTCGCCGAGGAAGGAGAGCAGCGCCGGCAGCCCGCCACTCCGCAGCACCTCGTCATGGCACTCCGTGATGGACGCCATGTTGGCCAGGATCGTGGCCACCTGGCGAGGAGGCGGCGAGTTAGCTGGCGAGCGGTGGCTGACAATCCACGCGCGGTGCTGTACGTTGTGCGGGGACAAACGCGTGGTTTCCGTTACGACGTTGGGCACAGGGAAGCAGAGTGTGATGTACGCCATCATATTGTGAGCAGAACGGTAGAGCATGATTTCTGTATTCTAATTTACAGTCACGTTATGCTACCTAAACGTGAAATCGCAGGTCTGATACCACATCAGATAATGCATGTATGTCCGGTAGATTTTCATAATACGTCATGTAATAATGCATGATGCATTTGGCTGGCTCACATGACATGAGCTTATAAAGCCTGTCAGCGACACATCCGGGGCGACATTGGGTATGTTCAACTTGATTTACTGTAACCTCGTCGCCGCTTTAAAAGAAGTAGCAACCCTTGGTTGACTCGCCAGCAGACATGATATTGATGGGGCTGACCAAGAGCGTAAAATTCATTATATGCAGCTGTTTCGAAGGACGCCGTTGTACGCCGACTATCCAAGAAACCTTGTTACCCTTGATATGCGCGTTCTGATGTCCTATGTCGGCAATTTATGTGCAGTACACATATATGCAGTGAGTCGCATATGTCATATGTAGCCACCTGCCACTGTCTCCCCACACTTAACTGGGAGGAGTATAGCGAAAGCCTAGCCTAGCATATTTACTTCGCGAAAGCAACTGTGCGAATATAAACCCAGTGAAACATTTGGTTTCGGCTGCCAATAGGACGAGTCGTTTTGCCTAGTCACCTACTCGAATGAAACACCCTAAAGAATGATGACCACAGCGACATGCTGCGGTGATAGCATTACTGTGCAAGACAACGGTACGTCACCGTGAAAACCCCATGACAAGTGTCTCCCCAGTTTTGCACGACATTGAAACAACAGCCCTTAAAGACTTTCCTCATGACGCAACACTGAATCAGATGGAAGGCGTGGATGTGGGAAGGGCTGACAAAAATTGTCGCACGAGCGCAACAAAGGTGTTGCATTGCCTTCCGCTCGCAACCTTGAAGCATACCAACGTGATGCAGCATTTCTGTGCCGATTGCCCGCCAGCAAAGCGGAGGAAAAGTATCACATGACGTCGACCTTGATCGTGCGCCGACTGCGAGCTGTGCTGTAGTTCCCGTATTACGTGTCAGCCCGTGAGTGTGTCTTTGCAACATTGCTACACGACCTGAGGAAACGAAACCTTGCTACACACATCGCCTAAGGGACAGGACGCTGCGTCCGACGGCGCGCGACCTCACCTGATCCTTGAGGAAGAGGGAGCAGTTGTCGGCGTTGCGCGTGGCGTGCACCAGCACCTTGGCGGCGCCGTTGTGCAGCAGGAGGCGGACGGCGCCGATGTTGAGGAACGTCAGGTTGGCCAGCGCCGCCGAGGCCAGCAGCAGCGTCTCCACAGAGTCGGTGGTCGCCGCCAGACCTGGCGTGCGGGCGCCCCGGTCAGAGCTCGTCCAGACACGCTGCTCAGCCGCCGCGATGGTGCGAGCGAACACGCTTGGTCAGAGCATCACGAACACGCTTGGTCAGAGCATCACGTACAGCTGGGAAACGGCAGCATGCTGCTCAGGTCTTCGTTCAACCGGTGGAACCCTAATCAGACGTGGATCGGACCGACCATGCAGCCCTGTCTATCTTGCTCCCCTCAGTCACGGTGTGGCGAGACTACGCCGATCCGCACCCGAGGGAACCCAGAGCTCGGTCCGTCGCTCGCCAGTGCTCGCGGCGTGCTCACCAGTCAGCTCGCGTATGATGTCCTCCACGTGGTCGCTGATGCCGCGCACGTGGTGGATGCTGTCCACCCAGGGCGAGGTGACCTGCGCGATGACGCCGGCGCACTCGGAGCGCTCCTCCTCGGTGGAGCGGGGGTCCGCCAAAATCCCGGTCACCAGCCGGAGACCGTCCGCCTGCCGGGGGAGGTCACGGGGTCAGCCATGTCACGTGTCGCGGTCGCGGTCATGCCGCAGCCCGGTCGCGCTCCAAGCGTTATCACGCCTCCGTGCTCGATGGGGAGTGTCTGGTCGTCGCGACAGGCCTGCCCCCATCACTGAACGGTCAGGGGGTGGCACAACGGGCCGGATCATGCCTGGCCTCATGGACCTGTCCTGTCCTGCGTCATGTCTTGGCGGCGTGCTGCCATGGACTATGTCCAACAGCGCAGACAATGGTGGGGCAACAGCGGCCAATGGTAGGGCACGACACTGCTCACGCGAACACTGGCAGGCGGTGAGGAACAACGCGCCAGGGAGTCGAACCGAAGCTGTTCCTGTGCCCATCTCAGAAATACACAGCTTGCATTCTTGTAGCCGGCTTTCAGTGGGCGAGTCCCAAAATGAGACCTTGGCTCACCGCATGGCGACAACATCTGGCTATTGAGGCCGCTGCTAAGACACATCACTCTGCTGCATGAACGATTAACACCCATGCTGCAAATATCGGCTTCCATTGGTGCCGCCAAAACAGATGTGCATTCAGTTATCTTATTATGACGCAGGCACAAGCGCACGCAGCCTACGATAAGAGCTTCCGTAAACGCAGTAAGTGCATTTACATAAGATGCAAAGCCCCTGTACAGGTAGCGCTTTCCAGGAGCTGTAAAGAGCTCCTTGCAGCAGCTCTTTGCAGCAATCCAATGGCATTACAGATGCTCAAGCTTACAGCAGATAGTCAGATGTGTTCCAAATTTCTCGGTGCACACACTAGCACCCGATGTTCTCCACTACTGTCATCGCTCCACGACACCGGCGTCACTTTCTAGACTATTGAGGAGGTAGAGCCCTAACCATTTGAAATTTTAGCATCACTATATGAATAAATGATAACGGACTATCCATGGCTATTTTCGTAGCCGAATCAGGTGCATCGCATGGCGTGAGTCATGCGGATGAGTTAAGGGTAAGTTAGATTGTAAGTGTTAATATCAAAGTGAAAATTAATTTATTTTTATTTGCGGAGATCAAGAGATGTTAAGTTGATTTTAAATCTTCACCAATCGGATAAACACAGCAGCCATATTCATGAGTGCACGTTCATAGCCAACACCCTGAAATGAAGAGAAAGAACTCCCAGTTTACAACATGAAGTCGCCCAACACCATAACCAAAACATTATTTAACATCGCTGAAATACTGGCAGAAATGCAGGCATTACCCCGCCCCAGCATGCCATGTATGGCGTTCAATCTTCAGTGGCTCTGGCTAAGACCCGGCCTCAAACGAGGTGCACGCTGGCTGGTAAAACTGTGGTTAAGGCCTTCCTAGAGGCCGTTCGTGCGGCGCCGTTTTTGTTGACGTGCCACTGACGCGTCCACTCTCCACCACGAGGCTACTCATCCCTCGTTGGGCCATTCACGAGCGCGGCCGCTGGTGCAGGTGGTGGCCATACGTGAGAACCACACACCGGGGAATGCAGGCCAGCCTCGCAAGGATACCTGCTGTCGGAAAAACGGGGATCACGCGCCCGTTCGTGCGCGGCCGCCGGCCGGGCGAGCCACTCGGGAGGCTGCGGTCGGCGCCGGACCAGCGCCGGCCGCCGTGCGTGCTCGCCAGATCCTGGTAGCTAATCAGGGGAGCCACTGAGGCGGCCAGACGCGGCCCAACTGCTCCCGCGGCCCGGCGCGGCAGGGCGGCAGAGCGGCCGCCCGTGTGCAGCGGGTCACGCACCTCCGCTGCTTCTGAGGCCGGCCAACGGATCGGGGCTTCCGCGGACAGGTGGTGCACGCGGCAAGCTGCTAGTGTTCGGCTGGATCGGTCCGACGGGGGTGGTCTGTGGGTGGACCGGGCCCACCGGGGTAGTCTGTGGGTGGACCGGGCCGACCAGGGTGGTCTGTGGGTGGGTGGACCGGGCCGACCGGACCGACCGGGGTAGTCTATGGGTGGATCGGACCGGACGGGGTCGTCTGTGACTGGGTCGGGCCGACCGCGAGTGGTCTGTGGGTGGACCAGGCCGGCCAGGGTGGCCTTTGGGTACACCGGGCCGACTGGGGTGGCTTGTAAGTGGATTGGGCCGACAGGGGTGGTCTGTGGGTCCCTCCGCTGAGATCCTGAGTGTGACAGTGTATTGGTCCCGCGGCTTGAAATAGATTTTGCAAGTGTGAACTGGTCGACGAACTGGTGTTCCTTTCACGGGGTATGACAGACATGTCGTCGGGGTTTTCTGAGGTCATTAAGTCATGATATGCATGGCAAATCCAGAAATTAGGTGTGGACGCAGACTGCTCTTGCTAATGGGTCAGAATAATGACCGGTTGTTATGTAATATCTATCCGTGGGATTAAACGATGGTTGCATCTGGGATGGCCGGAGACTTCCTATCAGCGGCTCAATTGTTTGAGCTCCAGACCGACAGGCGGCACCAGAATACCATGGAGCTGACAAGATCTGTCGGTTCTCGTCAGAGGAGCAGAAATTTCACTCGTTTCATGATTAAGTGTCCATCAAGGGTGGAAAGACCAGCTATTAGCGAACAAGCTGCCGAGCTGAGGGCTTGGAGTCGGGTGAAGTATGTTTGCTAAGCGGGTAAGCTTTTACCTAAGTGCTGAGCAAACAAATCTTTCATTCCAGAAGACGGAAGCGACATATCATAGCGTCACTTCTTCACCAAACATTCCGCCAATGCAGGGCGGCAATATGACCTCGGTGGGATAACAAAGACCTTACACACCTCGTTGTTTGGTGTGGGGAGGGGGGAAGGTCGTCATGTCAACCGTAAAAACAATCAGTTGCCGCTAACAACCGAGCACCACATCGGGCCTCCTCTCGTCAACTAACGACCGTCAGCGGCAGGTGCTCACCTTCTCGAAGGCCTTGATGCCCTGCGAGACGCAGCAGACGGTGGCGAGCGCGCGCAGCGCCTGCGGCCGCAGCTGGCGGCGGCGGCCGGAGACGAGCGCCACCAGCCGCGAGACGGCGCCGTGCGCACACAGCACGCGACACAGCCGGCCGCCGTCCAGGCCGACAGAGGTCAGCGAGCGCAGGCCCAGCTTCAGGCAGAGCACGTCGCGCTCCGGCGACAGCGAGCTCAGCATCACCTGCCGCAGGCGCGCGGTCAGCACCGCCGGCAGTGACGTCACGCGGTCTGACGTCACCGGGTGACCTCGGCGGCAGACGGCACGTCGCGCGGCGAAATACTGGGAAAACTACGCCGGTGACCGGTAAAGCTATGCTCAAAACAGGAAACTGATCGAGCAGACAGCGTTTGCCAGATGAACGCGATAACCCAGCAAAAAGGAGAAGAAAAAACATTACCCACGTCTTTTCGAATGATTTTGCAGCAAATGGATTATTTGCAGCCCGAGCTCAAATATCGCGGTCAGCGCTCGTAACTCAGGCAAACAAACTCACCCCGGTGACATCACCATGCCCGGTCACGATCAGCGGCAGCACGTCAGGTGGCCACACCAGCCTCATTGAGGAGCACAGCTGCTCACCTTAACTTCTTCGCCGAGAATGAGATCGACCAGGTGGTTGAAGGCCTGCGCTAGCGAGGCCAGCACTTCCACCAGATCGTCGACCTTGAACGTGCGGTTCATCTGGCCGCAGGACTTGACGTACTCCAGCATCTTCTCCATCAGGGAGCGCAGTTTGTCGAGGTTCTGCACGTGCGAGGCCTGACCGTCCGGATGCGAGATCACGTACTCTCGCACGAAGCTTTGGATCGCCTCGGTGACCGTCTGCGCTATCCGAGGGACCTCCTTGATGTCCAGCTCCTCCATTCGACTGTGCAAAGGTATACACGAAAGCGTTACCGACTCTGATCCCTCGCTCTCGTGTCTGCAAGCCGTGGCGAACACTACGGTTTAGTTCGCCATGACTTTTCCAATAGTTCTCTCGACTAGAGTCCAATATGCCAGAGAGGCAATACAACAGTTGTGGGCAAGTTCAACGACACAACACACTCCGTTAGGATGAAATGGCGCAACGGTGAGCGAATGAAATGCAACAAATCCTTTATGCAGAGAAGACAACGCCAGTCGGGTTCGAACTGGTCTGATGACCACAATGTACACCGCTAGATTCGAAAGACTTCTCATCTGTGACTAAAAAGTTGGAGCCATCACATCCACGACTGCTGTCTATCTGGACAAACGAGTGCACCCTGCACAATCTGCACACTGCGCACACACTCGTAAACTCACGAGAAGAGCGAGGCGAAGTCCCGGCTGACGGTTTTGGCGCGGACCTGAATGTCCCGGATGTTGGTTCGCGCGTTCCTCGCGGCCAGCGCGAGCAGGTGCGACATGTCCGAGATGACCGACTTGCTCTGCAGCGTGTTCATGCATTCGACGTCCACCTCCCAGCACTGCTCCTGCAGCCAGTGGCGCACTGACGGGGACCTGCACGCACGGGTCAGGTCAGGTCAGCTGGGTCACTCCGGGATCACTCCGGCCAGCTGGAGCTACAAGCGGTCAGGTGAGGTCGCGTAACATCAGTTAAAGTCAAATTAGGCCACGTGACGTCAGGTGAGGTCGTGCAAGATCAAATGATTCATGTGAGGTCATCCCAGGTCATGTGGTGCCAATCGCGCTCTAGTCGCGATACCTGGGCATGGGCAGACTGAGCGAGTCAAATGGCTGACCTTTCCACCTCTAAGCACCCGGCTGAACGCTGCACACGTGTTACATGAACCAGTGACAAGGTTTACTACCCAGTGGAATGTATGACTGCTTGATGTAGCATATACAACAGCATGAGATAATTGTTAATTCCAGCTACGAATAATCCTGTGCCGCCATGTTGTTCTGTGCTTGTCTCTGATCTCCGCTTCCAGCCAAGCATTTGTCGGTCAGACCAGCCCATTCCTGTTAGCTAGCTGGCGGTCAGCACTAAGAGTCGTGGAACTTCCTGATCAGTTAAGCCATTGGCGGAGACCTTAGAGGCCCAGACACGTTTTGTTCACCACTTATGTCATTTCACCTTCGTCAGTTTCCCGTATACTGTGCCAATCAAGGACAAGAGGAACTCCAATCGCCCATTGTCTAAAAGAATACGCTTTTCTGACGCCAACCAATATCGTAAGGTGATTTTCAAGGTAACTGGATGCGAAAGCAAGCGTTCTCTGCGTGATTAATGCAGTGACGGTGATACGTTCCACTCAGACAGACATGTCTTTTCCGCGGAAACTACGCGAATAACATTGGAGTGACTCGCTAATAAAGACGTTTAAAAATGTTGCCATTTGGCCTGGCGATTCCCAGGCAGACTCATGCCGCATCACTTTGAAACATAACCACAGTGGACAATTTCAAATGCCTGTGGCATGTTTACTTGCGCTGCGCATGCATGCGTACATATATTAGTGTTTGAAAAATGGCCAGCTAGCATTAACTTACTCAAGGCCTGTGCATCATGTGCCTGGCAGCCAAATCCTTCCAATGCCTCGCTCTTGCTACCAAGCATGCGGCCCAAATCGGCAATTTCCTTTTCACTTTCAGCGAACGTCTTCACGAGAAGCACGCTTGCATGTCCCGCTACTCGAAGCCGCGCCGCCGCCCGTCCGGCCGCGTGCGGCCTCCAAGCGCGTGCGCCGGCCAGACGGGGCCGTGCACGCGGCTACGCCCGCACGGGCGTGCGCGGGCCGGTGTCGCGTCAGCGGCGCCTTCTGATTGGGCCGCAGCGCGCACGCTCGCCGCGCGCACGGACTGGAAACATCCGGGACGCGAGAGGGCGCGGTATGCGGAGGGGATCAGCCCAAGGTGGCCGTTTTCCTCGTCTGCGGCCGGCGTAAACTGCTCACGGCTGCCTATATCGGGGGTGGACGCGGATGCGGCACGGGATAGTGATCGGGCAAGTGCCGAGATCGTCGCCAATCGGGCGGGGACGATCCGCTGAATGGAGTGATCATCCGACAGAGCTTTCCTCTCGCCGTAGCGGTCTGTGCGGCGAGTGCTGCTAGGAAACGGAATGCTCTCATGAACGCGATCATCTCTGATCTATAAATAACGCGAGGCAGTGGCCGGTTAGCGCCATGCCGAAGTGCGGGCCGAGCGTAGCTACCGAAACAGGCGAAAGAAATAGCCGCCGCGTGCCACACCATCAGCTTTTCACAGCCGCCATCACACCCGCGCGTGCCGCATTATCGGTCCCTGGACACAGTTCACGGTCACGACACGAGAGTCTATTGGCTATGGGGCTGACGTGTCTGCATTGCTCCAAGCCTGGTCACGGTCATCTGGTCGGTGATAGATTGTGGTAATCGACAGAGCCGGCATCAAACTGTCATTAGCCTCTGGGTCGCCAGAGCGATCTCGCAGCGGGTGTACGCATGCCGAATTACTGCTGCCCAAATTCGGTCGACGCGAAGTTAGACCGCGAATTTTCCAAAACCCCCGCAAATCCCGGGCTCGGAATTCCAGTGCCAATCGTCCACAAGGCTGTCTGTCGAATTTGGCGTATTACGCATTGTGGTCTCGCCTATAAATGCGTGTCTCCCGCAGAGACAACACACCCAGCGTGATATCGATGCTTAGCATACCACTCCATCTCGTATGGCATCTCCCCCACAGACATCAGCCGACAACACTGAAGGAGACACTCCCGTGCTCAGCGGGGTCCCAATCCACGGGCACTTCTGTTTTGGCGCGCGCTGCCCGAGCTTGAGTTACTTAAACCACATCACCAGCACGGGTCATCCGTCCAGCGATGTCAGTCTCACCCAGGCCACAGATTCCACAGGTCCCCCAGGCCAGGGACACCTCCTGAACCTCAGCACGTGTTACCAATACTGAGGCAGATATTCGTATCAGTTGGTTTCCAATGCGTCTTGGTTTGATTGGGATTATAGCCCCTTCGCCTCTTCGTGACCATTTTAGGGATGAAGGGATAGTGACGAGGTGAGATAATACTGCATGCACATGGAAGTTCCCAGCGGAGACCTATCTTTAGACCTCTCCCGCCCAAGGACCCTCTTAGGGGCGTGTGCTTAACACTCGGTCGAGCACAGGGGTCACTTAAGCCCACTTACAGTTTGTGCCGTGAACCTCGCCTCGGATCGACGTAGCGTCGCGAGATTTTAGGACGAAGCGTGAGCGATGAGAGAAGGGCGGATGCCATCAAGTCTAACTCAAGTTTTGGGACATCTCCCTCTCCTGCGCATGCCATCTAGTTCGGGGACACCTGCCTCTTAGAAGCATATGGGTTTCCCGAATGTGAGATCTAACTGCCATCTATCAGGGGGTTCTCCCGATGTGGGATACTCATTCCACATTCACATCTGTTATCCAAGCACGTGGATTCCCGGACTTAAGACACAACTCACTGCGATCGCGAGTTATCCAGGGGTGTGCATCACGTCCATCTCGGTGAATGTCACCAAGTCTAGAGACACCTCTCCCCTTCCCCGAACCTGGTCACCCGATTCGAAGACGACCTCCGGACTGGAGCGTTACACCCACTCCAGGGACGTCTCTGTCCCACCTCGGCGCGGGTCGTCCGGTTCAGAGCCCCGGTGCGTACGCCTCCACCCTCCCGCCGCGCCGCCGCCGGGGGCCAGGTGGAGACACGACAGCGGCCGGCTCCCGCCATCGATCTCGGCCGCCGGGGCGCCGACAGACGGCCGGCCGCGGCCTTGGCGCCGTCGATGACTGATGACCGGACGCCGGCCGCGGATGCGTCCCCGCCGCGGGACGGTAGCGAGCTGGGCACAGTCCGATCCGGTCCTGACTGACCGCAGTCCGCGGCGCACGCGGGCGAGCTCCATGCAGAGCCCCGCCGCGGAGTTTAATCACGGTGCAGTCGAGACCCGACTGCTGTCTGTAGGCGACTTGAGCGCCCGCTCTGTAATCACGTGAACCGATAACGGCTCGGTCGCCTCCTGGTCGGGTTCTGATCGGGTCCTTATCGGGTCCTGATCGGGTCCTAATCGAGCCCTGGTCGGCTCCTGATCGAGTCCTGGTCGGGTCCTAATCCAGTTCTGGTCCAGTCCTGATCGAGTCCGGGTCCCAATCGCAGCGTGTCCTGAATGCGCCCGGACCCTTGAACGCGCTGTAATCCAGGCCCGAGACTGGTGACGTCCGTAGTCCAGACCGATCTGGTCCGGGCGGCGTCCGGGCCATGTCCTAACTGCGCCCTGCGGACGTCCTGCCCGCGTCCCGCAGTCGCATTTAGGCGGCGACTCAGCTGTACCCTAACCGCGGTCCGGTCGAGTCGTGACCGAGATACGCCCGCGCGGCGATAGCGTCGTGACCGCATGCTGACCGCCACATAACGCCATCCGCCGGCAGGTGAGCAGCTAGGCGACGCGTCCCCGTGCGCGGCATCAGTAATGCGGCTAGGTGGGGGCCTGGCGGAGCGAGGGGAGGGGGCCGGGGTTGCGCAACGAGCGGTTATCTCCCTGTGGTGATGCCGGTTTTACGGGGAGGCGATTATAGTTGGGGCCGATTGCCTCACAAATTCTGTGTGAACAGCATGGTACGCCGCAGTTTGTTAACGATTGATTGATTGTTGGTTAAGTTATGGACAATAGGCCCGGGCCTGTCAGAGGCCGTAGTTGTGCGTTGTGTACAATCTTTTGTTAGCTTTTGTTCCATCCAAGAAAGTGAGCCTGGAGAACATGATGACCTGCCCCAAAACAGGACGGTGATGGTTTTTGATCACCTTCAAGTCCTCGCGTTCCCCCGACAGATCTTAGATGACCTCTGTTTTACGAATGTAATGTTTTAAGCCTCATGACTGCAGTTGACAAAAAGCATGTTGGCTAAGTAGAATCGCATGTTAACCCGCCTTCGTTATAAGGAGCAGCCCTCTCTGACGTCTTCTAACGAAGCTACCCACATACCTTCCCTGACCAAACTTGGCCACACAGTGTTAGGGCATCACCGGGCTGGCGCGTCTAACCCCGCGCCGACCCCGCCTGACCTGACGGCCACTGACCTGACGTCGTCGATCCGGATGGTGGGGTCGGGCCGGGCCGCCTGCTCGCGGGGCAGACTGCAGAAGCGGCGCGCCTGCAGGTCGGCTGCCGCCTGCAGGCTCCAGACGGATCGCGGTCGGCGCGGCAGCGTGGCGGCGCCGGCCGTCGGCGCCAGCTGGGACCAGCGCCGCTGCAGCTGCCGCTGCCGGCCGCCGGCGCGCAGCGTCACCGAGCCGCTCTCGGGCGCGCCCGGGCGCAGCGTCGCGGCGCTGGCCGAGCGCACCGCCGCCGCGTCCGGCGGCGACCGCGGCGAAAAGTCGATGGTGGTGTCGTTGAGCGAGGGCCGTGGCCGGACGGTCACGTGCTGCGTGTCGGGTAGCTCGGCGCGCTCGAGGATCGAGTCCAGCTCGCGCTCGATGGCCGAGCACTCGAGCACGTGGTCGGCGCGCACGGGGCTGGAGGTGAGCGGGCCGGCGCGGCCAGCCAGCGCCAGGTCCTGGCAACTGGCGGAGACGGCGCCCAGCCGCTTGTACTCCTCCACCACCTGCAGGCTGGAGTGCGAGAAGCGCGACGATTTGGGCGTGTGGCCGGCCCGCGGCCGCGGTCGGGGGAGCGTCGAGGACTCCTGGCTCGCCGGCGGGCCGGCGGGCGTCGCCAGGGGGGTCGCGCTCGCGCACTTCGCCGCGCGACCCGACGCGCTGGCGCCGCGCATAATCTTGGAGAGAGTCCGCGCGAACGACCGCTTCTCGAAGCGAACGCGCCGCTCACGCTTGTGGTCGTCGCTCTGGGAGTCATAGTTGGACTCGCCCGAGTCGGAGAAGCCAGAGTCTTGACTCCGCTGGCTGGTGGGCGAGCCCAGCAGCTTGTTGCGCGCGTCCGGCTTGTAGTCGGCGTTGCATTCGAGGAGACTCTTTTGCTCGAGGTTCTGCACGCGGCAGAAGAAGTCAATACCTTTACTACTGTACGCCCGCACGTTTTCTATACCGCACGTCGTGGTGCTGTTGCTCTTCGGGAAACATTTCTCCGCGGCCTCACTAACACCGACGTGCGGCTTCCACAGGTTCTTCTCCGCCTCCGTGGAGTTCATCTTGGACGCGTTGGCTGCCAGTTCCAGCTCTTGACCGCTGTCTCTGACGTCAAACAGCCTGCGTCTAGTTCCACGCGGCTGCTGCTGTTGCTGCTGCTGCTGCTGCTGCTGCTGCTGCTGCTGCTGCTGCTGCTGCTGCTGACGACGCGCCTGCTGCTGCGGTGAGATCAGCGGCTGCGGTAGCGCGGCGCTCAGCGGGTGCCTGTACACGGGCGCGCGGTTCGGCAGCACGGCCAGACACGTGTCAGAGGCGAACCGGCGGCCCACCCCGGCTCTGGGGCTGACTCCACCCCTGCGAGGCGCGGCGCCGATGTCGGCGAAAACGGGCGTCAGAGGCGGACTCAGGACGGCACCTTGGCGGACAGCCTCACGCAGGCGGCTGCCGTTCAGCGGACTGGGGCGCACCGCGCTCATCGTGGCCCTGCAACGGACGGGAGCGCGGCGGGTCAACACAGCGCCCACCGCAGGCCATAGCATGAACAGTTAGTCGGCCGCCAGGCAATCACGGAAACCGCAAGAAAACAGCAAACCACCTGAGACAGAGGACGGCCTTGCAGCGCTCCTGTCCAGAAAGTAAACGGTCCAGAAAGATAGAAAGAACGCCCAAATTCAGCCCCAAGTCATCAGAGGGGCGAAGGTGGTTAGTCTCGAAAGATGTGCCCGTATGACATAAAACATTATGTAAACATGGCTGCTATTCTTTGCTTAACTTGTGTGATTATCGCAGGTTTATGGAATTTCTAGGGCTGTAGATCAAATTTAAAAGAATGAATTGCCATATTCAAAGTAGACACAACAACGGTCGTCCTTTCTTTTCAATCATTTGCAAACATTAGAATTTTTTGCGCAACGGACTTCAGTGCAGGCACGCGCCGCAGGCTGCCCACTGTCTAAGCCAGCAAGTGAGCGCGCGGGGGCGATCTGTTCCAAACTGACATCAACTTTTCAGTGCCCGCTCCTCAGGCCGGTTCCAAAAGCATCCGCCAGAAAAACTACCTGAGTCTCATTAACCTGTTAAATTGACGCCGGATTCGAACAATAGAGTATTATCAAGGCATCATCGCGACAGTCCGACACATTTGCGTCCTATCTTAATGCCATCAGTCGCAGCAGCCAGCAGTCGCTTGTCTGTCGGTTGCAACATGCAGGAAATTCTGTGTATGGCTGCTGTACGAGGACTGGTGGAACGTAATGCTTATCGTTGTCGGGCCGGTCTGCCGAGCAACACGACAGCAGGGCGTAAAACATGTTGCAGTGTCACGGTAAAAAAAACGAGATAAAGAGCTGAGAGGGTTATTCGGTTTCCGTATCAGAATTCCTGGAGCATGGGTTAATATCCTGTACCGGCATATTTCGCTGGCCTCATATCGCTGACGTGCGTATTGGACCGCGGCCAGTTTCGGTGGCAGAGTGTGAGCCCGTCCTGCCAGGGACTCAGGCGACTCCTGGGCGCCTGTAATCCGGCCACATTTGGTGGCCAGCAGCCTTTGCCTTCCTGCCCTCTTAAGCGTCTTTGCCAGGATACTATCCTCACCTGCTCGCTTACTGCGGTGCTTAGGTCAACGACAATTCAAGCTTCTATCTCTTACCGCCAAACGCCTGCAGTCGCTGCGAATACAGACTTCACCACACCAAAACTCTCAGGCCGGTCGCGCTCGCGTGACCCTGCCAGGCCAAGAGGGGTTTTCCCATCCTCGGAGCCACCGATCGGTGATGGACCAGCGCCGGAACGCCTCGTCAGCACCGGAACGCCTCGTCAGCACCGGACCACCGCTCGGGTCGTGGCCGGCCTGCGCACGTGCAGCTGCTTCGCAGGAGCCGATGCCGTCTCGCGATAGCGGCCACCGGGCTCTGGCCGCCGACTGCTAGATTAGCCGAGCCACGGCCGCCGGCGCGCGCCAGCAGCCTCGCTTCTCGCCAGCGCCGGCTCTCAGAGCGCCGAGCCGGCTGACGCCGTGGGACCGGGGAACCGACGCCACAGCTCTGCCAACAAGGGGCAAGGGCGCTGAGCTGGCTGACGATGTGGAACCAGGGAACCGACGCCACAGCTCTGCCGGCGAGGGGCAAGGGTACTGACCTGGCTGACGCTGTAGGACCGGGGAACCGAAGCCACAGCTAAGCCTGTGGGGGGCAAGGGCGGCCCGGAGCAAAGCGAGGGGAAGTCGGTCCAGATACGGAGGTTGGAAGGGAACTGGCAACGGTTCCATTACCGACGTCTTTCTGCTAGGCCACGGGGCAGAAATACGCTGAAATACGCTGCGTTTGCTGCATCCGGCTACCCGCTGCCAAATTTGCGTTCATCCTGGCCTGCAGGAAAGTCTACCCAGGATAAAGTGAGTGCGGTCTCAACTGACGCACGGCCGTCTTCCACGAATGGTGAGAGAGCCCTTCTCTGTCGGATTAGCGGCCGAAAGACTTAAGTCGCAGGGCGTTTCAGGCAGCCGCCACAGCTGTAACCACCTGACGATATTTTTCACGGGATCCTAAAACTTGTGGTGTTAGCAGGTGTCCTCTCGTCTAATTCATAACCTGGGCACACGGGAGCTGCTGGAAGGACGAGTCCGGGCCGCCCCTCCGTCCGTGGCGGCAGTCAGTGAATTTCGGAATCGTCTGAGAGCGAATCCCAGGGTCGACCTGCCGCCTAGATAAATCGTTAGAAGCGGGCGTTAACATTGACTGATGACTGGTGACACTCAGATGGCTCGAAAATTTGTGTTTGGCTAACCGGGGGTCGAAGCGGTATTTTTCAGCGATATTTCATCTGATTGAGCCATCAATTCGATTGGCGCATAGCTAGATACCATGCGTTTTTCAAGGCGCTCTATTCAGGTTGGGTTTCGTGGCCAAAGCGGTAGCAATTCTTCCACGCCGCTGTAATCGCAGGCGGAATGTGTGCTATCAATTTCAAACCCATAATTCTGTTCTGCCCATTTGTAATAGTGACACTAATGCAGCTAAACTTTAACGCTGCACGGAAACTTATCGTTCAAAGTCTACATGGGCTTGACAGACAAGAGTCGTTCCAAACGTCGTGCACGCTGGCGGGGCGATAGCCATGCCACGACCTGTTTGAGGAGATACCATCCGGCTTCAAGCATTCTGCCGTCTGCGCCCTCCAGGTGTTGTGTCTGTTTACGCCCGCATGGCGTGACTGTCCGGCAAGCCCATATTCAAGTCCTGAGCGTCACGCCACCGGTCACGCCGGCGTCACGCCATACGCGCATTAGCACGCGCGGAGAAGATAGGGAGCGGCGGCGCCCGTCTCCAGCCTGTCGCCTGTCGCGCTGCGCACTCACTACGGCCGCGCTGCTCTTCGGCCTTCACTGCTTTCTCGGGGTAAAGTGCAGCAGCTGAAGAAACGAAACGAGATCGAAGACGACCGGTGCGTTTCTCCCGCGGCGCGGATTGCGTCAGTGTTCGACTCACGCGTCGCATTTGTCTCGTTCCCGCCGCAGGTCAGTTGCGTGATGCGCGTGGCGACATGGCGCAACGTCGTTCACGCCCGCCGCAGCGGCAGCCGGGCGCCATGAGCGGGTCAGGAGGGCTCGTGACCGTCACACGGCCCATGGCTAGGGCTGTGAACAGGTGAGGATGCGGTGGGATTCACACTTCAGATTCGCCGCCGATCAACTGAGTTCGGGGTCAAGACAGGAGTAATGCTCGACTGCGATTCAGTCACCTCACTGTGGATGATGACCTCAGTTGTCGGTCAACGAAATGGAAACTCACCTTGACAGCCCCCCCCCCCCCCCCCCCAGAGAATGGCGTCTGGCGTTCTCAGCGTGTGGCCGACTTAATCACTCCCCGCGGAACTTCGCTCCCGCTCGTACAGCACGCCGGGCTGACCGATCTCACGCCAGATGTTCAAAACCCGCCAACTGGGCGCACCGCCATCACGCCGACGCGGGGCGCCGATAAAGTAAGCCATCACACACCGGCACAGCGCTGACTCTACCATCCAACGGCTGGCCGCCTTCGAGCGAACACCATCCGTTTGCAATCAAACGATTTGAGCCGGGTGGCCCGACCATCTGCGTCGGGGCGCGACGCCCGACCGGCGGGGCGGGTCGGCGTCCTCCGACGCCGCGTCCCAGAAGGTCGTTACAGCCGCCGGACAGACCGGTCTAATGAGGCCCGATCGGCCGGACAAACGAGCGCACGGCCGCGGCCCGGCCGCCTCGCGCCGCTCCCAGAATCGAGCCGTAATGGACCCCCAGATGCGGTCAGGGTGGCGCCGGCAGCCTTTACGACCCGGCGGCCATTACGACACTGGTACCGCACACATGCTGGTGTGTTGGAGCCGGCTGTAAAGCTGTAAACGGGTGGCTGCCGGCTGTTCCTGCTCCGGCCTGGATCTAAGTCGAGGCCGCCAGGGCTGGGCCTTCATGGCGCTTTTTCCAATAAATACCTTTTCTCTTATGTGGGTCACCAATTTGTCCATGGGCGGAGCTCACAAAAGGAATGGGCACAAACAAAAAAAAATCGCTTAATTACGTCACTTTATTTCGGTGTAAGCACGCTGAACATACAATTCTAAGGGGCCCACCGATAGGTGATGAACAAGTACGAGAACTCACGGGCTGTAATGCTATCATCTATTCCATTTATTAAGTATAGTTCTAAATAACGCCTTTTTGTACTGAATTTTTCCATACCATGTCAACCATGATCGGAAAGCGCTGGTAGAGCTCCCGTTCAAATAGCATCTGACAAAACGGCAGCTCAGAGCAGGCTTCCCTTACGCATTAAGACTTCCAGCGCATTAGTCCCTAACAGCAATCATAGAATGGCCAGTGTTGGACCCGATTCCAGAAAGGTACGGTTCGTATCCCCGCAATTTTCTCCACAAACCTGCCCCAGACGCACAAAGGCTCCACATTGTCCCCGCCAGTGCTGGGCCATAGCTCAGCCGCGCGGACAGCACGAGCTTCCATTCACCCCGAGCCGCCATGCCTGGACTATTGACTGTCGAACGGGTTCGGGAGCCTTTTAATAAGCCACGGGTGGGCGCAGGTCGGCAAGGAGACGCAGCCGGCACGGCGGCCGGCCGGGCCAGCCTGAACAGATGTTTGTTCGGTTTAAATGCCGCCCTCCGCCGGCCGGCATCAAAGCGCTCCAATCTGCCGTCGATGGCCTTTGTGAGTGGCGGGGTCGGAACAATGGCACCCAACGGCCGGCTCTGTGCCTGGCGCACCGCGCTGACACCCTGTTTACTTTCCAGATGGACGGAATGCCTAGCGCGCGCCGACCGGTGAGCCCGAGAGCCCAGTGGGGGGGGGAGGGAGGGAGGCAGGTGTGACCCCCCCCCCTCTCCCTAGATACCCGCAGCATTTATTATATCATTACACTCTACTGTGTAATGAGGTTCAAAGTGCGCTCTACCGTCGTTGATCGTGGACAAGCGCTTACCGCTGAGGTGGCTCCAAAAAGCTGCTTGGGTGGTGACCCGCGGAAGCGCTGGTGACAGTTTGGCGACGGTCGTGTAGTGCATGACCAGGTCGTAACGGTTACGGGCACGTCGTGACCAAGTCCTCATCACGGAGGCATTCTTAGCACGTAGATGTGCTGTTAGTTTGCTGGTTCTATAGCTAACCGCGTGACCGCAAATCGCTAGAGAAATATTACATGCAGAAGACATGCCCGCAGACAGTGAACATCCATGACCAATACCAAGGTGAAGGTGGACAGTGCAAGCTTTGTCATCAGCCTTCAGAACGCAATATTCGAGGAGTGGTTAAAGGGGATGGCCCCGCTCTTATTCAAATAGGTATTTCTATTTTTAAAGCAAATATTTTGCACGCGAAAATTTCAACACAGAGTTATAAATAACAACAGCTTTTTAACCTCAGCAAATCTCGAACAACTGAAGCAGTGCCTCTTCTGCGCTCCATTTTCTAAGTAACGACATGGACTTAACAACTGTTATGAGAAGACTGCTTCCACCTGGCTGCCTGCCATAGGGCCCATGCCAAGGCCATCACTTTGCAGAATTATTACATCGTTAAGATGGAATAGCTGCAAATGCACACGAAAAAGTAAAAGGAAGACAAAAATAACGGATAAGTTAGAAGATGATCCCAGACCTTTTGGCTCGCTTAAGTCAATAATTATTTTTTCGGCAGGACTTATCTTCCTAAGGCATCATTAGCACTCGGCGCAGATACTCAGCTGGCGTCCAAGTATCTGGGGGACTTGAAGGCCGCTTGGGCGCAGGTTTGGTCGTTTCTCCAAAGCCTGCGGCCTAGACCGATGAGTGGTTGACACGGGGGATCCTCACGCCAAAGGTGACGACGCATGGCGAGAAGGGACATGCGTTGAAGCATCGACTCGAGGCTCTGCCGCTCGTTGGAGCCTATAGACGTGATAACAAAGCGGACGACCTCCCGTGCTCCCAATGACATCAACAGATTTGGAAACCTGGTTCACGATCGTCCCAGTGCCCCCCCCCCCCCCCCAATTACGCCAACTTTACAATATCTAAACAGGTCAAGCGACAAATCGGCCAACTCAGCTGTGCCAGCGTCAGCGACCGCTCTGCCTTTTCGGCATTCAGTGAAAGGGTTCGTCAGACGTACTCCACTCCTCGGAAAGCCTCCCGGGCGATAACAACGCGCCTGCAGGCCTTGTCAACGTCACGGCCGCCCAGTCACGCTACTGCTACGTCCCGTGCACTACTGCATCAGCCCCGAAGCCTTCGTACTGATCGTTCGTTGCATGTGGCGATCGGAATCGGGCATGACGTGTGCAAGTTCTGGCAACAGCGCTGCTGCCCCCGTGTTCCGTGAGAGCTGATTGCGCTTTGCGGATGGGAACTAGAAACTGTGCCGGTCACCAGTGTTTAAACCGTCCACTTTCGTTAGCGATCAATGATAACAGCATAGTGCTGGTTGCGCCTATTCGGCGGTACATTAGTTCGCATAGAGTGCATTAATAGTGTTGCCATGCACGTATTTTTGCAAAAATTTACTGATGCTCATCTTTCGCATGTTTGAAACTACATATGCAAGCATCACACACACCACACACACACACACACCACACACACACACACACACACACACATAACACACACACACACACACACACACACATATATATATATATATATATATATATATATATATATATATATCCCAGCCACCAGCACAGATCCCCGAAGTCGCTCGCAGGTCCGCCTCTCACCTGGTGCCGGGTCCTCACGTGTTCTCCCCAGGCGAACCCTGCACCAACTGCGGCGCCCGCGCGTGCTCGGTGCGTCCCCCCCCCCCCCGAGCTATGGGACACCCGGGCTCCCACGGGGCGGGCCGTCTCAATGGGTCCTGTTGAGGGGCGCACGGGCCACGCGGTGCGGGTCGATGGCCGTCAGGCGGCTCCTCGCCGAAGGAGACGGGCGATATCGGAGACGGAGTTTATTGTCTCCGTGGGTAGGCGAGGATGCCCAGCGCGCGATGGCCTCGGACTGTTCGGCGTTCGCGGCGCCGATCATGGAGCATGGGGATTTGTGTGTTGACGGTGGGGCGGCCAGTGGGAGAAAACTGTCGGTGGACGACGCTCTACAGGTTATAACTTCTAGATGTTAGACATGTTTAGGCTACCAGGTGTTGTTCGGCGACCGTAACTGCCAAGTGAACAATTCAGTAGAACGCTATCAGCGTTCGCGTCACGTTTTGATTGGAACCCGGCACGCGTCCAAGCGGCCGAGGTTGCGAAACAAGCCTCGCAAGCCTCAGCTTTTAGCAGCTCGGACCGACCTTTCAGGCCGCTTAGCGCCATCGGTAACGCCCCGACCTGGCTTGCCTTGGCAGAGTCACTTTGACCCCGGAACGTTACCACGCATGCAGAGCACGTCCTCTGCATCCAACCTGCTTCCTTTCCTGGGCATTTGATGAGTGGCACTTCCACCGGATCCTGGGTCAAGGCCCGCCC